TTGAACCGCCAGCCTTCTGGTTAGCAGTCAAGTGCCTTAGCCACTATGCTACCAGAGCTCCTGCTAAAAGTCCGAGTTGCTAGGTGGGTTCAAACCACCAAACTTTAAATTAGCAGCAGATTACAAACTGCTTGTGCCACCTAGGCTCTTTATTTGTCAATATTTGTGGAATTGCTGGTTTTGTTGTTGTTTTTAAATGTAGCAGCTTGATATTACGTGCTGATATTGACCATGGATTAAGCATGTGCTCTGAATTATAATAACCCTTATTAATACCAGGTCACAGAAATCATCTCAGAGATTCGGGCACCCATTGTTACTGTTGGTGTTAATGAGGATTTAGCTGATGCAAGAAAGAATGAACTCAAGGTAAATTCCTTCTAAATGAAAAGAATGTCTGCCTGTAGTGTAGTTTTGTTAAGTCTAGTATTTCTTCATGCTGTGTGATTTGAAAATTATCACACAAAGGCAAATTATTGATTAAATATTAAGCTATAAGAATATCTAAAATGCTACCAGATTTTGTCAGTGTGAAAGACTTGTCTATTTGTTTCAAGACTATTAGAACTTTATCTGTGTATGCTTGCCTCTACTTAAAATAAAAGTCCAGGTTGTTGGAATATTAAATAATAGTTTTTAGGTTGTTGCATATTTTCACAGTAATTGTTTTGCTTGGTGTATAAACACAATTTATGTTTCTTTAGATGGCAGAAATAAAAGTTAAACTTATTGAGGCCAAAGAAGCTTTAGAAAATTGCATTACTATACAGGATTTTAATCAGGCATCAAAACTGAAAGAAGAAATAAAAGCATTAGAAGATGCCAAAATAAATCTATTGAAAGAGACAGAGCAACCTGAAATTAAAGAAGTCCAAATAGAGAAGGTATATATTTTTTTCATACTGAGTATCAGCTGTTATTAATCATTTCATCTAACCCTTGTTTACTTTCTTAACTGGAAGCTGTCAAACTATATTAATTTTGGAGAGTTTTATCCAACACTAGATTGGAATGATTTTTTTCCCCTCTGGTTACTTTCTACTTTGGACCTTGAAAAGCCTTCCTTTAATTATTTTAGTGAGGACTTTATTTGTTCCCTGTCATGCTAATCCCTGGGGTCTGGAATCTTTCTTCCTTTTCAGGACACTTGCCTGGCAGTGGTTTCCTTCCAATTTTTCAGTCTTGAATTGTGTAGAAAAGGAAGAAGCCTCAGCCTTGCCCTTGTTTGTGGGACTGCCCGTGGCCTATCCCCTGCTGGGAGGGCATGGTGACCAAACTCTGAGGTGCTTTTTCCGAAAGGTTAATCACTCTTACATTTCTAGAACAAACTGAGTCAATTTTGTTATTTTTAGCAAAAGACTAGACTTGGTACATGTTTAGCAACATTTAAAGCTTACTTTCAGCAGTTTTGTTTTTAAACTTAGTTGTATTTGAAAAACTAGTTTCTTAAATAGATCATTTAAAAATTTAAGAAAAATTTCCTCATAAATGTTTACGTATAAGGTAGAATACTACTAACTACTATAATAATAATTTTAATCCAAGAGATTCTTAAGAAGACTCTTTAAGATAGACATTGTAAACTATATAGTGAACAAAAGAGTATGATTTATGGTTGTTGTTTTGGTTTCGGAAGCACTGTATTCTTGTAAAGAAAACGCCAGGCAGGGAAGAGTTTACGTTATAGTCGCCCTTCTATATCCACAGGGGGGATTTGTTCCAGGACCCCCTGTGGATTTGCAGTCCCTTAAATGAAATGGCATAGTGCTTGTATATAACCTGTGCACCCCTTCCTGTATACTTTGAATCATTTCTAGATTACTTATAATACTAACACAAACCTTTCCTCTCTCCTGTTGCTTGATGTGGAACCCACAGACCCCGAGGGCCGGCTGTATGTGGGTGTTTCGTAGGTTATGTCCTTGAGCTCTCTAGCAACATGCATCCCTACCCCAGCACCCTGTTCCCAGTGAATGTGCCTGAGTTTTGTTTTCATAAGTAGTAGTTTATTTCTTTTGTTTGAAAAAGTCTTTGGATCATTATATGCTCTTGAATTTGGAGATTAGTTTTCTCCATATAAAAAAAATGTATATATTTTTTAATCTTAAAAATGATGTAAATTCACCATTAAAAAAATGATGTAAGCTCTAGGTCTGAATTAGGAAAGTATTAGCAAAGATAGTATATCATGATTAATATCACCTCTTAAATTTGACTTGCTGTGACCACTTATGTGTCCATTTGTCCTGTTAAGGGCTGTAAAGCTATTATGGTACAATCATAGTGTAACATAATAATGCCTATGGTCAATATAGGGTTTGAAAGAAAGATTATTAAAGATATTGTTGGTTTCCCCTGAGGAAGAGATACATAACTGAGACTGGAATGCAAATCATGACGTGAAAGACAGTAATTCTTTCTACGTACGGGTAACTGTTTGAAGCTCTTTACAGGTGTTATTTGATTCTGCCAATAACCCTGGGAGGTTGGTACTGTTATTGTCTCCATTTTATAGAGGGTCTTGGTGGTAAGCAGGGCTCCTTTTCCACCTGTTGTTGTTGTTGTTGTTGTTATGTGCTGTTGAATTGGACCCGACTCATAGAGACCCCCTCCTTGGGTTTCCGAGGCAGTATCACTATGGTAGTATATTGCACAGCCTTCCTTCTGAGGAGTGGCTGGTGGGTTTGAACCGCCAGCCTTCTGGTTAGCAGTCAAGTGACTTAGGCACTATGCTACCAGAGCTCCTATTTTAGGAAAGCTCATTTTTAAGCCAAGAGGGATGGCAAAAGTGAATAATCCACATGTTAGCGTTCCATATACTTTATGTGCGTGATCTCACCCCCATAAGGGTGGCATGCCACTTATTTACATTATCGGCAAGCCATCCAATTCCCTTGACAGGCCACAAGCGTCACATTTGCATACTCCCACCCAGTCATTTGGTGGGAGTTACAAAGACTATATCTAGAAGGCCACATTAAGCAATTCACTGTACCATACAACTTCTTAAGAAGAACATATTTATTTTAAGCGTATCTGAATAGTAGGAGAGAATAGACCTGTACTATATTTGTCATAAATAGCCTAGGTATATTTATAAGATGAAGAATTACATTATCTTTATTCTGATTTATGATAGTAAATTTGTACTATATCTTCTTCTAAATTATGGAAAGCTGGACATTAACTGGAAGAATCTAGGTTCTGAAATTTAGAGATGTGGTTTTGCCACTGAGAATTTCTAAGTAATTTGTGAATTCATTGTTACTATATATATTCAGTTTATCATTTTATTTTTAATTCTATTTTTGTTGTTGTTATGTGCCACCGAGTCAGATCTGACTCATAGTGAACCCTCCTTGGGTTTCTGAGGCGGTATCACTATGCAAGTAGATTGCCCAGCCTTCCTTAATTCTATAGACAGGTGGAAATCTTGTATTCTTGCAGAAATAATGGAAATGCTTTTTTACTAATGCTGACTATTCTCTTTCATTTTAGAATGATTCTGAAACACTCCAGAAGTGTCTTATTTTGTGTTATGAACTGTTAAAGCTGATGTCCATTTCGACAGGTATAAGTGCAACCATGAATGGGATCATTGAATCTCTGGTATGTTGGTAGCTTCTGAAGCATTATTCTAACCCACTCTTCCCCTCATTTTGTAAGTTTAAAAGGTTTTGTGAAAAAGTTACTATTTAAAAAATCTGATAAATAGTAAAATTATATATATTTATATGGTGGCTACTTTGTATTATGAGGGTAAAATGAGATAATGTATATAAAGGACCTGGTACAGAGTGAATATTCAGTACGTACTGAGTTATAATTATTCTTTTTAAAGGTTTTAAGTTATTTTGTGTTATTGTTGTTAAGTGCCATTGAGTCGTTTCCGACTCATAGTGACCCCATGCACAGTAGAAACGAAACACTGCCCGATCTCGCGCCAGCCCCACAATCCCTGCTATACTATTCCTAAAGGTGCGCGGTAATGTACCAAACAGTGTTTCTTTGCTATTCATAAGGTTTTCCCTGGCCAGTTCTTTGAGAAGTGGATGGCCTCTTCCTTCTTCCTAGTCTGTCTCAGTCTATAAGCTGGGCTGTTACCTGTGCACCTGGTGCATCTCGCTGGGTTTTCCGGCCTGCTGCCCTGGGGCTGACTGATCTTCTGTCCGGGTTGGTTATTTTGTACTGGAAGGCAATGCAGGATATCTTCATTCTTTGAGTTGTAGAAGGAAATACAGAAATATGTCAGAATAAATCCTAGAATCTTGCTATATAGATTGAAAGACTACGAGAAAGTTATGAGTCCTATGAAAGGAATTTGTTCATTTAAAGTACTTTTTATTAAAGTAACCCTTCATAGATAATCTCCATTATATTGACCATGGAAACATAAGTCTGCAAGACACTAGAGAACTGTTCTCCAGTAGAAATGTAATCCAATCCACATGTAACTTTAAATTTTTTAATGTTGGTGATGTTGTTAAGTGCTGTCAACTCAGTGCCAACTCATAGTGCCCCTGTGAACAACACAACGAAACACTGCCTGGTCCTGCACCAGCCTCACAATCCTTGCTGTACCTGAGTCCATTGTTGCAGCCACTGTGTCAATCAAAGTTTTTAGTACCCACATTAAAATAAACAGGTAGAATTATTTTTTAAATGTTTAAAATTTAAAAATGCTTATTTTAGGCATATTGCATTAATTATTTAACCCAATATATCTAAAATACTATCATTTTGCTGTGTACTTGGTATTTAAAAAGTATTGTGATATTTTACATTCTGCTTTTCGTTGAGTTCATTTCTGTTGATGGCACTGACATTAAATAGAGACGTTAAATCCAGCCCTGTTGGTCAAGCAGAGAGCAAGGGCGTGGCTATCAATGAGACTGGGAAAGACTGCATATTGTGGGCTGTTGTTACCAGTCATGTCGAGGGATTTGATCTTTGGCCTGTGAGCACTGGGAAGCCATTGAATCAGTTGCAGCAGAGTGAGGAGTGTCTCACGATCAGACGGCATTTCAGGAAGCTCGCTCTGGCTCTCTTGTTCTGCATTAGCAATTTAATATTTATTTCAATTTTATTAAAAACTGAAAAGATTTCTTGGAGTTAATAGACAGTATGGAAATGAGATAAAATCTGTGAAGTCACACAGAAACCATCATTTTGACCATGTTTTTAATATATTTTTGTTCATTTCTTGCCCTCATCACAATTATTTTAATTTCTAATTCATTTAGATTCTCCCTGGAATAATAAGTGTTCATCCTGTAGTAAGAAATATGGCTGTTTTATGCTTGGGGTGCTGTGGACTACAGAATCAGGATTTTGCAAGTAAACACTTTGTATTACTATTGCAGGTAGGCTTGATTTTATGACAGTATTTCAGTTGTATTTGCTGAAATAGATACTGTGTATCTGTGGTGAGAATGCTTATATTCTAAATGTATGTATCTGAGAGTTTATTGAATTAGTCTGATGTCATGAATGATTTTTAAGACAATGATTTTCATCTTTGATTTCTTTCATATTAAACTTCTGTAGACAGAAAACAAACTATCAGTTATTTTAGGATATTCTTGCATTTAATCATATAGTACACATTTGTTGAATACATGTTATGTGCACAGTACTGTTTTAGGTGTAAAGTATGTGGCAGAGAAAAAAAACAGGAAACAAGATAAAAGCTCTCGTCCTAATGGATCTTATATTCTAAGAAGGAAACATACAAATGAAAATAAACAAGTGTCCAATATGTCAGTTGGAGAAAAATAAAGCAGAGGCGGGATAAGGAATGGGAATTGGAAGCAGGAGCTGTTTGGTGATAAAGCCCTCAATAATAAGTAGATGTTGGGCCCAGTACCAGAGGGAAGGGAGAGAGTGAACCATGCGAGTACCTGGGGTAAGAGCTTTCTAAGTACAAGGACGAACGGAGAAGAGGCCTTGAGATGGGATTTTTTGTTGGCATGTTTCAGAATTGGTAGGACATGTGTCTAGAGCAGATTGAGCGAAGGGGAGAATAAAATCATGGTTGAGAGTATGGTCTATTCTTTTTTAAGTAAAGGAGCACATAATGCAATTTAGATTTACTCTAGTTTTAGAATTTTTTTTTTTTTTACTGAAAGTGATCTTTTACTTAAATATATTTCTAAATTTACAATCTTAGTAAATAAAAATATAACTTTAAATTAAAATTTTAATTATTTCTGAGAAGTTGACTTTTCTTACAGATTTAACATTGTTGTTGAACTTAGGCTAAGAAAATGATACATGTTAGTTTTATGCAGACTAAACAATTAAAAGTTACTGAGTTTACTTTTTTGGGGATGTCTCAATTTAGATTTTGCAAATTGATGATGTCACAGTGAAAATGAGTGCTTTAAAAGCAATCTTTGACCAGCTGATGACTTTTGGGATTGAACCATTTAAAACTAAAAAACTACCCGCCCCTCAAAGTGAAGAAGACCCAGAGCTAACTGGTGATGCCCACGAGCAGGAGTCAAGTGAAGCTGAGGAGGAGACTGCGGCCGCTAAGAACGTGCTGAAGCTCCTTTCTGATTTCCTAGACAACGAGGTACGAGATGCTGGCTGCTTGGAATCCCACGCTACCGTTTTCAGCATGTGTTTGTTTTGCTCTTTAGGTTTACAGTGTATTTTTTAGTGCGACAGTTTACACTTGACCAAAAATTATTTTTCTTTCTGAATATCTTAATTAAATCTCAACTTTCACTTTTAGCATACCTAGTTTTTCAAACTTTTCAAAGTACATGTGCAGAGAATTGAAAGGTCAACAAAAATGATAGGACTTTTTCCTCTCTGTTTATGATTTAAGGACTTAGGTTTTCCTTAAGAGTCTTATGAAAGGATTTAATTTCTCCTTGGTTGGTTGGACGGTCTAAGATGGAGTGTGGGGCTGGATTTCCTTCCTTAAGATGCTCTTTAAGGAAAAGTGGGACATATAGATAGCTAGACCAGATTGAGCAAATGAGAAAATATGCATTACAGCATATATAAACATTTAACTGGTTTTTTTTTTTTGAACTATTTTTCTTCTGTAATTAGATGTAAAACTCTTTTTTTTTCTTTTTAAATTTTTCCTATAATTTTTTTTTTTTTAATTGTGATTTGGGTGAAGGTTTACAGAGCAAATTTACTTTCCATACAGTGGTTCACATATACTTTGTCTCATGACATTGATCACAGTTTACCACAATGCCACAGCTCCCCTCCCACTTCCTCCCCATAGTTACCTCTTCCCAGTGTCCCTCCTTCCATATACTCCTGCCCCCTGAGCTGTCTCCCTGTGCATAAACAGCCCTTCTTTCTCCCATGATTGTTCTTTCCAAGGAGTGTATCTCCTTGAGGTAAATGTTCAACTCATATGCCTGTCTTTTGTTTGGCTGGAAACCATAGGTGTGGGTTCAATTCCAGAGCTGAAGGGCAGCTAGGGGCCATAGTCTCAGTGGTTCCACCAGGCTCTATCAGACCAGCAAACCTGGTCCCCCTCCCCGCC